TATATATATATATATATATATATATGTCTGTGATTTTACAATACAATCATTGACAATATCGACGTTTTCACTCGTGTTTATCGAAGATAAGCACGACTCATGTAATTATTCTCACCAAATTTATTAACTTTACGATATAAACGAGTGATTGCAATCACATCGAACTTTTAGTTATCTCGTAGGTTGTTTTTTATTATTTCTCGAAATAAAATATTTTCTAATCTATAGAACTATTTATTATTTTAATTATAAATTCCTTTTTTTCTCATAAAGATTGGTAGAAAACTTAATGCTCGAAGAACAAAAGATAAATTTATTACGCAGCTATACATTGAAATTGAATTGCAATTACGAATAACGAAATACGCGACGCAAATAAATCAATGGTTGGAAATCCGCAATTGACCTTGAGAATATTGTCGATTATCGTTATTTCTCGTTTCATTATTAATTTACTTTCGAGGATGTGCACATAAATAATAGAGTGGTCAGAGAAGTTACTGTTCGAATGTATTTTATCATGGAAAACAAATTCCTGGAAAACAAATAATAATCACGACTTTGTCTCATTGTTTTTTTTAATATAACTCTATATCTGTACATGCATCCAGAAATTCTAATAAATATACATACCTGTTGAATCTGTTAGAACTATCGGTAAGATTATTGTCTTCGTGCAATCGGATCGTGCAGATTTCTCATAAACTGTCGGACATCGATCAAATGACGTTAACGAGCATTGTTAAGGATTATTAATCAAAATCGTTAAATATCACCGTTTCTACATAGATTCATTTTAATTCATTTTAATCTTACGATTTCCGTAAACGATTTTGAATTAATTATGCATTATTTATTAGTATCGATTAGCACGCGAGGAGATTTCCATCGACGAGTTTTTGTCACGACGACAAACGTTTTCTGACGCGTTCCCGTTTTCCCAGCTGACACTTGTCTCGACACCGGACTCTGGTTGGCAAGTTACTCTGTTTGGACACGAGTTTGTGCGACGAGAAATTTCAATCGCCACGTATCACCGATCGTGTTCGTTTGTTTCGAGCCTCGCAAATCCATCCAATATCATTTCCCATTCACTTTTATTCATCCGAGATTGCTAATCATACGTCTGGTAGATAGTTGGATAGCTGCGGAGAGAACAGTTGAAGCGTAACGGTGAGTTGGCGCCAAATGAATCGGCCGTTCAAACAAAGAACGGTCGCAAATTTAAACGAGGCGCGCAAATGATTTCGAAATGCGCGCGCCACCGTTTCCCCGCGCAGGCGCGTTTGCTAGCGCGTACCTACAGCAGAGCGCGTTCAGGGACCGATCTAAAACTTGCGCATACCTTTAGAACACTTGAAGTATGCCGGCGAATGCCTAGCGGGCCGACGTAAAGGACATAAAATATGCAGAAAACGAGCACCGTTCTACGCTTGATTTTATTGCTTATTCACCCCGTATAGCCTCGTACCCTCGTGTGTGTTTCGAGTCGATCTCCTTCTCTTCCATCGGCGGATGCAATAGAGAAAACGAGAAGTCGACCGACGTCTATATATAAATTATCGCAAATTTACTTGCCATCGACTAGCAACGGAGATCTAATTCAATCTCCCGGAATCGTCTCGTATCTCTTCCAGTTTCTGTTTCGCCTCTAATTTCACGGCTCGTGCTTCTCGTCGTCGCGTCTCCCCGCGCGATTAAATCTCTCGACACCGATTAGCGTCGTGATGATCCGCGATGGTGATTCCATTATTATAGCCAATGATCGTATTGCGTTTTCACGAATTGACACACACACAGGATATACAGTCAGCTTTCGGTGGATCTTTATTCAACCTTCATCCGAAACGACAACCTGTATAACAGTAAATATCCTCCAATATTCCTTCTCATTCCGCGTTCCGAGGTTTTTCGTGCCCGTGATACCGTTCGTGGCCTCTGGGTCTTGGTAAAAATCGGGATTCTCCGTTACCGGCAATCACAAGAGCGCGCCTAGGGAGAACAATTATCGAGGTATATAGTTATTTGTCGTCACGTTCACGGAAACTCCGCGCCACGAAGACGTACGCGGAATCGAAAGAATCGCTCTTTATGCGATTCTGCGGTGTCGCGTACGAGTTTAGAAAAGCAGGCAGCTGATGCATCGAGGTAAACGAAAGCGCGAAAGAGAAAGAGGGAAAGAACGAGAGGAGGGAAAAAGTGCGTGCGTTCGTATGTGTGTGCGAGAGGGAAAGAGAGAGCCAGTTCGGAGGGCACGCATTTGCAGCGTTGCCAACCGATCGCGTTTGTATGCGTGCGTGCATACACGCGTGCAAGAGCGGCCGTGTTTCCGCGCGATTTGTAATGCAGTGTAACGTGTTCAGCCGCTTAGCACGGCCGCATTTACCTTGCCTTTGTATTTGCAAACACCGTGTCGGACATAAACATCGTTCGTCGATGTGCATAAGGATCGAGACGGCCGATACTCCGGCCGAACGCGTAAAATTGTCCCTGGGAATACGTCGCGTGTTCCCAATGATTTTGTACGCTCCTTAATTTTGCTCGATGGTGCCACGCGACTCGATTAAACGCACGCGGCCACCGATTATCCTATAATTCACTGTCGCGATCACTTTATATCGAATTCCACGGAGGAGACGAGCCACGACTTTATCCGTTCGGTGAACGCCGGTGAAATTGTTCTATTCGTATGAGCGGGCATGAGTCGAGTGGAAAATCAACGACGATGAAATCGACGATTATTTACTCCACGATTCGAGAGTAGGATCACGTTAGGCGAGAGAGTGACACGTTTCGGCGTAAATAAAATTCAGGGTAATGATCCGAGAGCGCGCAATATCGATAGCAAATCCGATACCGGGAAATGATTACCGGAATTTCGAGATTTCGATGCTCGCCACGCGGAGACTATAGATCGAACGTAGGGGAATATATTTAACCTCGGTTTCGTTCCATCATCGAAGGAGGAATTCGTAAAGATGCGTAATAAATAACTCCTCGTTTCGAAAAAGGGATTGCAGATTCTTCGAAGAGGCGTCCACGGATTGTTCTCAAGCCGGTGACTAATATCCATCTAATTACTCGAACGATGAATGTCGTCGTTAATGTTGACGGGATACAATGGGGTGGAGAGAGCTTAGTGCCGCGTTAATAATTGATCATTTTCAAGCGGAGAAAAGCCCTTTGTTCCTCGATTCGAACCAAGTTGTCTACGAGACTCTGATTCATGGAATAAAATCCGTCTTATTCGACGTGGTTACGCCGCCACGTATTCACTCTTCTGTCCGTTTCAGTACAGTCTCGCGCGTGACACACGCGCACAATGATCGCGTAACCGTACAACTCTTAGCGGATCTCCTTCCACCTCGATTTCCTCCGTTCCTTCCTTCTCGATCCCACCCCCTCCTCCGATATAACTCGAATTCTCGATAAAGGCTGTGCAGCTGACAAGG